GGTGTGTATTTTTTCCCTGGGCAAAGTTTTTCTGGGAGCATTGCTGTACTCTGCTCAACAGATAATTGTTCTCATGAAAGACGTTCTAGATAACAGTGAAATAACAGGCTTAACATGCAGTCTCAAGACACAGCAGGGGGTCTGCCTTTTAACAGCTTAAAAACAGAAACCAAAAAAGGGAGCGGTGCATTCTAGTATTGAGATGGGAAGTTCTGAGTGTCAGTTTATAATAGTTATTTTCTGAAATGCTCTTGTGGCCATTAACCTTACAGAAAAAAGTACTGTCTTTAAGCCTATTAAATGGTCAAAGAAATGAGTGGGGTGCTAATAGGGAAAAGCCAAGAGATGCTTGAAATGCTACATGTATTCAAACTACCCTCATAAAGCAGAAATAATTGCTGCAGTTGATGTAAAGACCCAGTCCGATTCAGATTGAAAGCCAGAGCGCAACTAACATCTAAAGTGTGCAGTGAGCACTTCAGTTAAGTTTCTGGTAAGGAGGAAGAAAATCCCATAAGGACAGTCAATGTGGGTGTAGTATAAACATCGGCCACCAATTTGGGAAGAAGGAAATGCCAGGCTTTGAAGCAACTTCTCAGTTTAAAACTGTGTACAGAGGACATCAGCTGAAAGGGCAGAGAGTATTCTCTGCCCCTGCACTGGTAGCAGAGTCAGGAGCCTAAAGTCTGAATGGTGCAGGGCCCAGACGGTTTACTTGTGAGGAGCGACAGAACAATGGAAAGGTTTTATGCTGGAATATGCAGCCAGGTTGGAATGTCAGTCGGTCATCTTTATTCGGTCAATGACCAGCAAAAGTTAAAAGGACAAAAACAGTGAAACAAAATCAATATATACAATCAATATTGGAATGTAAATTCCAAAGACTGCTCATAAAGTCTTCTGTATCAGATGAGACTCTTGAGAAGCGATCTGTGGGAATGTGAATTTATGCAATACATAAAGAAGATGTCACCAAACCCTTTGACTTAAGTAACAGAATAAACTTGAATCTTGTAGTGATGGACAGGCTTGTTTGTTTATTATTTATTTAAAGAACTTATGTGGCGGCCTATCTCATATGTGATCCTAGGTGGCTCAAACAACCAGTAAAAACAAGAATAAAAACAAAACAACACCTCCCACCAGGTGCCAGACCAACCAGAGTATTAGCCTCCTGACCCAGCCCCATCCTAGCCCAATGCTTGGGGGAAGGGCAGGGTCTTCCGGAAGACTAAAAAGGTAGGGACCTCTCCCATCTCAGATGGGAGGCTATTCCAAAGGCTGTTGGATCGCAGCTTCATGATTGCGTGATGGAAAAAAATGCCTCTGCCTGGCCTGGTGTAACCAGTAAACCAACTGGAGCACTATAGTAATAACCTCTTCTACTGCTTTTGAAGCGGAGTTGAATGAAATGGACTGTTATCCCAAAGTAAGGAAGTCTACTGAGCTGGTGCAAAATTGAAAGCTGTGAGCATTTCCTTTTCCTACAAAGAGGTCCTACTGAGTGATTTCCACTGCCAAAAGGGAATTTCATCCATGTCTTGCCAAGGCAGTTCTACTGAAAGAACACCCCAGCATATCTCTTGATCCATCCAAGTGATGATTATTATGAAGACATTGCAGTGAATGCAGCAGCCCCATATTTGGACCGAGGCACTTGAAGCTTCAAGAAATGGGTATCTCTTTGTTGATGAAAGAAACTACCTGGGGCTGTCTGCTGTGGGCCACTAAAAGTGTGGAGGGCCTTCACCACTGATTGTGCCATCATTACCGTGATGTTCTGTTGCCACTGATTGTCAGATTCTTGTTCGATTCTTGCAGCATGCTTCAGTACATTTTGTAATGCCTCCATTGTTAACATCAGGAAGAAATGGGTAACCTGTGGTTAGGTGGCAAAACTTGGTCCAATAAAAAGTGCAAAAGAGAACTGAAGGGAAGTAGGATTGCACGACCCTTCCCACCAAGAGTCGCCCTGGCTGTAGAAGGTCCCTGATGGACACGTGTTTGAATGCACAGGGACTGTGATGGGCGGCTAGGTGCTTGAAGCTCGTAATCATCTAGTAGTCTTAAGAAGTTATCAAGTGAGCAACCGTGTTGCTGTGCTAGTCAAAACGTATTTTGTCTTATATTTAGGAAGCAGACCTTAAGATGCTTATAAGGCATATGGAACATTGGGCTCACCGGCTCTTCCCTCAACTTCAGTTTGAAGATGTTGTTGACAGAATAGAGAGCTTAGGAAATAAAAAACCTGTTCAGGTGAGTGTTTACTGAATTAGTTTGGGGTAGACAAACACTTAATTGGAAGCTTATGCTTCTTGACCTGTAATAAATAGTTTATCTGTAATAAATAATTTATCTTTATTTCTAGGTATGCTTAAAGAAAATTCGACTTGATCTCCCCCTTTTGAATGAAGACTTTGGAAATAATGAAGGCATGTATGGCTTTAAAATATTTGTACTAGATTCTTTTTCTTTTAATGGACAAAACATTTATATGCAACTGAGAAGTAATATCCTAATGGTGTAACGTGGTCTCTTTCTAGTTACTAGAAATTAATATTCCTCTGTTACAATTAACAAGAGTTTGTACTGAGGAACTCTTAACTGTTAAGCAAGTAGTAGTTTGCATTGAGTAAGCCTGAAAAATGTGTGTGTGTGTGAGAGAGAGTGAATAAGTGTTTAACTGAATCAGAGCAGAGTCTACCTTTCTGCCCAGTAATGCCAATTCCTGCCCCAACCAGGTGCTTTCCAAATAAGTTGGAATCACTATTCCCAGAAATCCCAGCCATCATATTTGGGTAAGAATGATTGAGGTTTTTCTTCATAAAGAGCATAATTCAGTTTTAGACTTCCTTGCGTTTGTGGGACTTCATTTTGGATCAGAATGCTTGATTGCATATCAGTTGAGCTTCAGACAGAGCTGCTTGTCTTGAAGGCCAAACTCTTAAATTTGGTTGAACATTCTGACTGTATAATGGAAGTGAGTCTTTCTGGACTTCTGCATTTCTGAGCGTCTTCTAAGGGTGGCCTGAGGCTGCGTGTGGCCTACTAGCCCTTTTTGTGGCCTCTAGAACCTTCCCAAATGTACAGGGCCAAAAATTGGGGCCCCTTGTTTTGCAATTCTGGGGACTCTGAAGGGGCAAAATAAGTGACTTAAACCATGCAGATGCTCCCCAAATAAGCTTTGGTCCGACCCACTTTTGGATTACGGTCCTTGAGCCAATCAGTCATTAGAGACACTAGGTAGAAATATTGGAAATTGTTAGAACAGCGATGCATTTGACAAACTTCCTTGAAATTGAGTTAAGAAGCTCAGAGCTATCTCTGCCTTTGAGAATATGTGGTGAGATACAGACTGTGGAATTAGGGAGAAATTCAGTTTCAAGCTTCCAAGCAGTTGCACATCATGGGAAGTATCTCATACTAGTAAAACAAAAGAGATGATTTTGTCTTCTTCATTCAGTATCTTTCAACTTGGGAAGTGGCATAGAAAGAAAATGTATTTCAGACAAATAAGTGGCTGCAATAAATATTGGTTGTATTTGTAAGCAATACAATACATCCCCAGGCAGCCACACACATTAAGATGATGGTTCCTGCCGACAGCGTCTGTCTAGTTATCAGATTTCTGTGCGATGGCTCCATACATTCATGTTTGAAAGAGCTGGGGTTTAAGGAAGGAGGAATGACATTTTGGCGCTGCATTATGAACTCCAATAATTATATAAATAGTTGTGTACAACTGGCCACATAAGTAGGTTTTCCAGCTAGGTTTTATTACTGTATGGCCACCCAGAGTTGCTTAGATGAGATGGGCAGCCGTACAAATCGAATAATAAATAAAAAATTAATAAACATTCCACGGAAAGAGGGAGTATTGATTTGAGTGGTTCTAGCAATAAGATGTGACTTGAAGGGTGAAATGATCCATGGTGTGCTTCTTTTGAAGCGACTCAGCTTAACTGTAGATTTTGCCTGGGCGATACTGATTGAACTCTTCCATCTAAAACAGGTGAAGATGAGGGCACCAGTAGACTTAACCCAGCCACTGAGGAATCAGATTTCCTTTCTGAAACGCAGAATATGAGAGAACAATTTGGCTCATCTTTAAGTACCACACTAACAGAGGAGCAACAGCAGAGAATTGAAAGGAACAGACAAATAGCCCTTGAAAGAAGACAAGCAAAAACGCAGTTCAGTCAATCGCAGGATGATGGTGAGGTCTAAGTATAAACTGAAAGAACAACTAAGGGAATTTTGGGATACTTGAATTATACGATTCCTGCTAAAAGTCAGTTTTTAATCTTTTAAATGTACTCTGGAGAGGTTCCTCTTCTCCCCCCTCCAAAAGCTGCTTTTGGGTGTCGAAGGCCAAATAACGTCATTTTAAGTAATGCTGGAAGTAGAGCTCTGATGCACCAGTTCCTGGAAGGAATTGTCACTCTTTTCCTATTTGTGTTGCTGGAGTTCAAGGTTCAGACTATTGTTGAAAGCTGATGCTTCTCAGCTCATTCGACTCTTGAAGAAATGCACCCTATCTCGTTTACAGGTGACATTTGAGAGTATAGCCAGTAATGAAAAATGCAGGCTTCTTTCAGCATTCTTGGAAGTCTAAGATTCACGTCGGTCAATTGTAGGGTGTGTTTAAATACAGAATGTTGCAGTAATGTAGGAAGAGGCCTTTTTGAAGAGGTAAGAGTCAGCCATTCTAAGAGTAAGGTTTTTTGCAAGGGAGCCATGACTCAAATACCTGTTTTTCAAAGCTTTTTATCCCAGGTTTTGCTCACTTGAGGAGCTAAGAAGGCAAGGCACGGACTCTGTTGGTTCTCAGGCCTCAGCCTTTTTCTACATTGCTCAGATCACAGGTTTCTGTGCCACAAACTGTCGTGTCTAATATTCTCTGAATATTTTTTGTTCTGACTTTTCTGTAAGAAAACGGGTAACTTCCCTTCTGCGAGAGCCTCACTGCAGATTACTAAGGCTGTGTCCCTTTTTTTGAGAAAATTGATCAGGTACAGTTTACAGTATTGCTACACGTGTGTATGTATGGCAATAGCCACGCATTCCCAGGAAAAGACAAAGAGTTACAGAACGGTGCTGGGTTTGCATCCCTACATGTTCTGAAGCATCTCTGGGGAATCCAGCGTGTGTGCACTCGTGTAGTAAAACATAGACCAAACAGAACAATTACAATTCAAGTAGAGAAGCATTTTGGCTGTTTGTCTGAGCAGGGCTGTTTGCTTGTCTACAGCTGGATGGGTAACTGGTATGGCCATAAGTGTGTTATAATTCTTTGACCCTTCTTCCTGTAGTTCGGTAGACTTACTGTGATGGAGAGTCATAAGCTAGGCTTACACCAGACAAGGAAGCAACTGATTATTGATTACCTCAAACTGTTTCCCTCTGAAGATGCTGTAGGCTGTAATGAGACCAAAGGGAATGCCCAGAATTACTGGGAATAGGGCAGTGTACAAATTTAATAAATAAAGGAGTAAAAAAACACTGGTTGACAGCAATTGACTGGCTAGTTTTGAAACAGTGGAGAACATCGTGTTTAAAGTCTGCTCAGAAAATTGCTCTGGAATTTCCTTTCTTTGGAAACCAATTAAGTGATGTACTTAAATATACAATATTGTGGAAATTGGGGTTTGGGAAAATTTCCTGATCTACGGTTGACACGTGATCCATTTTTAAGGCCAGTACCAAGCAGATATAAACAAGCTTAAGCTGCACCTCAGGTTCTTACCAGCACAGGGAGACAAACCAAGTCAGGGTGTCCTGTTCTGCCCTGCCCAGGAAGGCTGGGTTCATATGCCCCAAACAGTAAAAATAAGCATCAGAGTTCTGCCCGTGCTATAAACCAGAGCTGTCCAACTGGTACAGCCATCCCAACAGTTAGGTGCGTTACTCCAAGAATTTTTAACGTGGCAGAGGGGCAAAATACATAAATAAGTAGATTAACTATGTTGAAGTTTTACTTGTGTTTTAATTACATGCAGTTTTTGTCCTGAACTTTTCTTTCTCCAAGCCCTTCCTGGGGACTAGGACCTCTGAACCACCCAAACAGTTGTGCACCTCTGCTGTAAACACTTGGGAGTGACGCTGGGAACAAGGAAACAGCTTGCGGTTTCATACATTTGATATTGTGCTATTTAAACCATGTAGGATTCTGATTTAATCTGAGAACTCTGCAAGAGACTGATAGATCATTATTGTACTTGGTTACAGTGTTCCATGGAAAACTGTAATAATTGGGGTGTGCTTATTTTTACATTCAGTTTTTAAAAAATCAAGTATTTCCTGCAGCTTGATCCCTGAGTGATAATTATTTCCCATTTTTCTATACAAGTCAACTATAAAGAAATCGTTTTTTTCACCTCATAAAATTCATGAAGCAACTGAACAGCTTTAAAGCTGTGTGCCATAGTAATTATGTTAGAGGAAAACTAATGCACAAATAGTGATTTTAAAGTCAACTTTTTGTTCCCGTTAGAGTTGCCTACAAATGAAGAGTACAGCACCGTTATGGCTCAAGAAAAGGAAGATGTCTGCATAGATCCAGGTGGTGTCCCTTTTCAAGCTACTGAGAAGATGCAGACTAGTATAGATCAATGACCTTTCAGCTGTTTGGAATAGCTGTAGCATAATTTTGTTTTTACTGCAACTTTAGATGCTCATGCTGGTTAATTTTGGCAGCTGTTATAATTTTCAGTATTTTCTGTAATGCCAACGTTTTAAAAAAGTGTTTTCATTTCAGTTCGAAGAACATTTTGAGCTTTAAAGCAACATTCATATAGCAAATGTTAATGAGAACTATACATAAAAGTCAAATGATGTTATATTTTTACAATTTAAATTTTTTATAACTTTCCCATTGTGAAACATTTGTAATTGCCTATATTTTATACTAGAAATGAAAATAATAAATCTTGGAAACCAGAACTGATATGTAAGCTTCAACCTGAAAAATCTACTAATTCTGCAATTGCTTGTTAAAAGCTATGAATGTATTCTGCATGGAGAAATTGGCTATCCAGACCTTCTGGATTTAAAGGAGTCCAGAAATAGAGGAGTAAAATATTTGTTAACTAAAAGAAACAAGGGATGAATTGGAAAATCTCCATACCCCATGCCATGCAAGTCACAACTTATACTTATGCCTATAGACTGGATTTAAAGTGTCCCAGAGCCCTTATCTGGGGGTTTTGAGTCAGGCTCAGCTCTTGATGAAGTACGTGGATGCGTGTATGTTTTTTTCTTGGTGGCAATTCAGGAGGATTGCCTTTCTTTAGGATTTCATGTTGTTTTACTTCCTAGTGTAATTTACAATCCCAGGATTCCCTGGCAGTCTCCCATACAGTTAAGAAACAACCCCACCTGTATTTGGCTTCCAAGTCTAGACCGGTTTGGCAGTGTTACCACCCATCATACAAAAAGAGAACTGAAGAATAACCATGTTTATTTTCCTAAACTGCTTCAAAGAACTATACAAAATGAACACCTGCATCTGCAACAGCCAGGCTGACAGCTGACGCTGTCGGTCAAGCTTTCCACCCCACTTTTTTTTCCTGCTGCTAAGCGCAGAGCTCAGACCAGTTCCTGAAATCTTTGGCCTTCCACTAAAAGGGATGCCTGCCAGCTCTGACCATAGCTGGGGAAGGAGAAGAAATGTTTTTTTCATCACTTCTGCAAATTCGTATGAATTAAATCTTAAGCCTAGCAAAACATGGAGGTTTGCTGTGAGATAAAAGCAGGGTTCACCTATTATGCTAAGCCAGAGTGAACCCAGCTGAGGAGTGCTTGTGGTAGATGGGAAAAGGAGGCATATGAAGGATAGCCATGGGGGTTCTGTCCTTAATGAGTACTTGGTAAGGGGAATGCTTTTGTCCCTGGTACTTGTAAAGAGCAGCTATATTCACCTAAGAGACTGAGGTACAAACGAGCCACCAGCATTTAGAGAACATAACCTGTGTGGTTAACATATGATCCACTGTGTTACGTAAATCCATAAAATTGGGTTAACCATCTGTAACTGTGTTGTGCAAGCCCAGGTTATCTTGTGCTCTCACAGAGAAATTAGGGCTCCTACAAAGAAATCTTGCAAACATAGCTTTCAACATAAGAAAGCACCACGTCTGAGCGTCAAAAATGACTTGGCTTTGCTTCCTGTAGTCTTCAAAAACTAGAGGTAACTCTCCACTTATAAACAAAGGTTTTTTTAAAAAAAAGACTGAACTAAATTTGTCCCTAAAGCTAAATCTGACCTACTTTAAGCTTTACTTAAATGTATCCAAGTGCCAGCATGTCAAAACAACTAAAGATGATTAAATTGCTAAACAATAGCCCAGTGTTCTCAACCTCAGCAACTTTAAGACGTGTGCACTCCAACTCCCAGAATTCCCCAGCCAGCATGCTGGCAGTTGGAGTCCACGCATCTTAATGTTGCTGAATTAAATTAAATAATTTAAAGCAGCTAACTTAATGTACGTTACTATACACTCAAAATTACCAAGTAGAAAAACTTTGAAGAACTAAGCTGCCACATCACTTATTCCCTGAGGTGCTTTGAGCTATTTACACTTCTCTGTATTTAATTTATAAAAGACATAACATATTTTCCGTTACCAATAATTGCTATAAATGGGTCTAAGAATCCAATCTTAAAATACAATCTCCATTTTTTTTAGATAAACAACTTTGCAATAATAAATTTACAGCTTTAAAAAACAGGAAATGAGCTGAGTAAAGTAAGAGGTCTGGCATGAAAGCCATGTGAACTGAGGTCTCATGCTCCACGGTCTGCAGATACATCCAACAGAGACAAATCCTTGATTTCTTCCAACAAGTGATACAAGCTCGTACGCTGGGTCTGCCGATACTCTTCATCTCCTTCCTTTGCCTGGTTTGCTTTGGCCAGATCCTGCACAAGCTGACTTTCCTCTGCGGACTTTGTTACTTCCCTTACTAAATCCGTTCGAGACATGTGAGGACTTTGAGACGGTTCCCTTTCTGAGGTCTTGTATGGTTTGCAGCTTGTTATCTGAAGTTGGATCCTATCTGCATGGCAGCGAGAAGTCTGTACGGAGATTTTCACCTGAGGAAAAACAAGCGTAAGACTCTTGCTCGCATGTGTAAACTGACAGTACGTACATGCCACAAAGGTTTTGTTGCTTACGGTCACGTGGTTGAAGAGGTTCAAAGTCACGGGCTCTCCGACTGTGGGCGTGGCAGTAATTCTGCTGGGGAAGCGCTGCAGAGAACCAGGTTGCCATTCACAGTCTCCCCCTGTGGGACAGGAGATGACCAACCCTTCCTTGTTTCTCAGATAGGCAGCCCCTTTAATGCCGTACCTGTAACAGAAAGAGTTGGGATGACAGTTAAGCAAGATCCAGTTATCTTTATATTTAATGGCCAGGAAGCTGACGCATCAAATACAAGTCCCTGGCCATAAGTTAAGGGAACCAAGTGAAAGCCTGGAGTGGCTGCTGAAGAAGATAGCACAAGACTTTTGTCCCACCCAGTATCAGAGACTCAGAGCACTCTCAAAGGAGTGCCTGCAGAGCACTCTCTCTAGAGGCAGATGGGATGTCAGTCCTTCAAGGCTGTCCAGAGAAGAAGCACAAACCTAACACTCTCTTTATTGTAAGGTTATAGTAACAGAATCTTGCAAGTCTGAAAGCCCTTCTCCCCTCCTTTTACTTTCCAGGAAGCCGGGGGGTCCCTTCTGAGACACTTCCCACGCCCCTTTTCCTTCCGTGGGCTGAGATACCTTTTGCATGACGGTTGTCTAGGCTGCAGCTCTTCCTCCTGTCTCCCAAGGTCATTCCCACAGACCATTACATGAGCTGAGGTCTAAAGCACAGCAACTTTTGCTATGTTTGGCAGAGACCCTTCTCAGAAGCTCCTGAGAGCTGTGTGCAAAACTTCGCTAACTGATCCTGTCTGATTTCTCTGTGGAGCCTTTTCCCATGTTTCTAAATTTAGCTCTCTTATCTTTCGACTCTCCCTTGACAAAACGTTTCTAACCCTTGTCACTGGAACAAATTCAAAACAATTTCTTTCTTGAAATTCTGCCCTTGCTTCCAGCGAGCACGGAAACATGCGCCTTGTCGCATCAGTGTCCTTTCCTCACCCGTTGTCAAAGATGCCTTACCTTGGTACAAAGACAAGCACACCATTTGTTCGGATTGAATAGATAACGCCGTCCGCTGTGCGCTGTTCATCCCTTTCAGGACTCTTGTCTTTGAAGTACATGCACTGGAAGAGCTCCGTGGACTGCTTCTGAGCGTGCTGGGCAGCCTTTCCAAAGAAAGCAATTGAGATGGGACACCAGAGTTTGCTATCAGAATGTTTTAGCGTCGCAGTCTCAGATACTGTCGAATCCACTATCAGTCATGCTGCCTGCCATTTCTTTGGATTTTGTCCCTGTGACGGCAATATCGGAACTACTGGCCCTGTTCCATTCTAACGAGCTAATCAGTACACTTTAAATAGAAAACCCACCACAGCTTTTTTTTTTTAAAACCATCTCAGCAGACAGCAATACCTCTGCAACCTGGTTCCTAGGGTTCTGTTGTGTCTCTCCAACTTATGAATGAGATCAAGGATTCTCTTGCGGGCAGCTCCCAATTATCAATGCAGCTTGTGAGCAACAACGAAAAAGTTATTTGCCACAAAATACGAGTCATTTTTGTGACTTTCTGACTCTGTCTGCGAGGGGAATCATTCCCAAGAGCATTTATTCTTGGATAAAACTCTGCATCAGCCTGCTAGCATGTCAGCTCAGCCAAGTTGATGCTCACATTTGCTTCAAAGTTTCAGGCAAGAGTTTTCCAGTCCACCTGAAGATGGCTGAGTCTCAATCTGGAATTTCTGTTTACAAACGGTACCCTGTGATATGTGGTCCTCCCTGGTTCCCACCTAGGGGTTCTGCATCAGTGCAGAAGCCCAGCTGGATTGTTGCACAACCAAAACACACTTCATAAAGACACCTCATTCTTGTTTGCTATCACAGTGGTGGCTCTTTGTACTTTGCCTGCCTTCAGCATCTGACTTCTTCAGTTTGCGTGGCCTCCTAAGCACCTTCTCAAAAGGGCAAAGCTGCCACCAGGATGCACTCTAGAAGCACTGCCACATCCTTGATCCTGCTGTGATTCAGCACTTGGGACAAGAGAGGACAGCTTGCTGTTTATCCCGATGGGAATCACACAGACCACAATGAAGAACTGGTTACTTACCTGGGCCAAGACCTTCTGAGTGATCATCTGTGCACTGACACAACCCTTCTCTTTTGGATTCACAAATCACTGCCTCATTCAGTCCAATGGGGCAGAACTACAACCAAAATTCTTATTCCCTGTAATGGGCAGATGGGGCCACCACACAGGCTCTGAACTCACAGGTGGAAATACAGAGATGGCCACTTGAAGAATGGCAGTTATAGGTAAATAGACACTCTTAACTAGTGAGCCTGAAAGGATAATATGAGGTTCTCTGGCACAGGATTTTTCAGGGCCCATACGGTGCAAGATACAGGCTCAGAAAAAAAATCCCTAGTTTGAAGGCCCACAGTCTGACAGATTCAGTTTCTGGCTCAATACAGTATGTGCTAAGAGGGCCCTGTTTGTTCTCCAGCATCTCTGTCCTACTGCTATTGATCAGATGGTTCTGGCCAACTCTGAGTAAATCCTGGAAACTGCTTCAGATGAGGCCCTTATCTCTATCTCAAAAGCAAATAGACAGAGTAGCACCATCCTTGGAAAATCTCCAGCATCACTACAGTAAAGAAGTTTTCAAATCTCAGACATGCTTCTCTCTGTTAAAGCATGGATAAACTCCTACAGAAGAAAACTGATCTGTAATCTTACCCGGTTTCTGTTGTTAATATGTCTACACAGCTCTTCAAGTTCTTTATTGCCAAGCAAACTGTCTTTTGCACGGGCTCTGTCTTCCGTTGAAGTGGCTGCTAACAGAAGTCTGTGGACAATTATATCAGCGTATCTCCTAATGGGTGAAGTGAAGTGGGTGTATTTATCTAGAGCAAGACCTAAGATGCAAATGACACTAATAAGCACGAAGTCCACAAGACCATGTGCAGAAGTAAGAAATGCACATGTAACCCACATTACAGCAAGTACCGTAGTGGAAGAACTCTTCTTCGGGACACGATCCAGTTGAAAAATATACCGCATTTGACATGGCCTGAGTGACCATAGACCTCAATAGCTGATTCACCAGAGGGTCAAAGGGGTCCACTGCTCTATCCAGAGAGTCCGCTAATGCCTTGTTAGACCTGTCAACATGAATAACTTATAACTATTTATCTGAATTGTTTGTCAAAGTTAAAACCCTGCTGTGGTAATTTACTCTTACAGTGTCAAATGACCACCATGTCCAAAACTAGTTTTTGTTCTAGAGAGCCACATTTAAGCAGTGATTCTGACTGATAGCAATTGTTCAAGATCCAATTCTACATTTTTTTTAAAAGAACCATGGACACAAACTTAACATTTTCACAAAACCCTATTTTTTAAAATGGGCAATCCAAGAGAAAAAGGGTTGTTCCTCCCATTCCTTGGAAACTGTATACGTCAGTCCAGAAGTCACATTGTGAAAAGAAGGTCCTCTTATAGCAAATTCCACTTGACTGCTGCCCCACCATTAGGCGGTTTGGCTGTCCTCTGAAAGAAAGTTTTAAATGTCCCCTCTAGATCCAAACAGTTGCAGAGACCAGGTGTACTTAAAGCTATAGTGGAATCCGTAGAGCTCAAGTGAGTTGAGACTAGCAAGTCCCACTGATTTCAATAGGTTTATGTTAAGTGCAATTCAAGTTTGTATTCAGTCCATTAGAGTATTTGCCCCTAGGTGAACTCCCCTTATAGGCACACCTAACATAAAAAGGTAATAAAAACATCACACTGATTGGGTTCATGCACTGTTCTCTGCACAACGTCATCCAGACTAAATCTGCCTTTGCTCTTTGAGTGGCACTGCTGGGGGATGCATTCCAAAAAGTAAGGGGTGGAACCAGGATAAAATCTAAGTTTGATTAAGATTATATTTCCATTTAAAGTTAATGTAAATGTAGTCAAAATAATTACTCTATTCGTCGTATTAACTTTCTCCTCCTGCCTTATAATGATCATCTGTTAACAATTTTTGCAAGTTTGGGGGGCTGCATCCAAGACTTTTGGGGGCAGCAGGTGGTAAAAATCTGCTAAACCAAAATGTTTGATTCTGGCTCATTCTGTTGGATACCCAGCCCCTCCTCCC